TGTGTTTGAAATGTGCAAAACCATGTTGGAGACATGTTCAGAATACGCCTTACACATTTTAAGCACATGCTGTAGCTCAGTGATAGGACTGCTGGCGTGTCCATTGTCCTGGCAGCCACCGTGCCAGAGCTGGGGGCGACGGCCCAGCGCAGGCCCACGGGCAGCCGCCCGGAGCAGGGCCGGAGGCCGGGCTCGGGCGGCCGCTCCCGGGAGACCGCTGCCGAGGGGCAGGCCGACGGGGACCTCCTCCTCCTCCTCCTCCTCCTCCTCCTCCTCCTCCTTCTGGCCAATCGCTCCTCCTCCACCTCTTACTCCTCCGCTTCCTGCTCCTCGCTCCGCCCGCTCCTCGCAGCTCGCTCCACGCTCCTCCCTCGTCGATCCTCGTTTCACCTTCTCTTCATTAGCAGTATCCTTCTTCTTTTGGCACGGGCTGTAGGACGGGACAGGCTCAAGTCGGGCCATCGAAGCACAGAAGCCCGCAGGTCCGAGGCGTTCGGGCGTTCCCGCCGATGCTGTGCGGCCTGCCTCGTCGAGAGCGCTCTGGGGGTGCCCGGGCCATCCCGAAGAGCCCCCGGAGAGGCACGGGCCAGGACAGGCTAGGCTTAAGTCGGGCCTGTCCTTCTACAGGAGGAGCATGCAAGAATAGTCCAAAGATCGTCGGGGGACGATTTCTAAGCTATCTTTGCCCATGTGGGGGGTATGTTTTGAGTATTTTTCATTTTTCGCCCAAGCTCCTCCTGCAGTGGGACACGCCCGACTCACGGCGAGGCGGTCGGGCGTGCCCGCCGACTTGGTGCGGCCTGCCAGCTTCGGGACGCCTTCCAGCAGCCGCGCCCCGTCGAGAGCGCTCCGGGGGTGCCTGGACCCTCCCGGAAGGCCGCCGGAGACCTTGTGTTCGGACGCTCTCGTCGATCCTCGGCGGCTTTCCAGCCTCGCGATGCCTTCCGGCAGCTTGCCCTCGTCGAGAGCGCCCGGGCCGTCCCGGAGGGCCGCCGGAGTCCGTGTGTTCGGACGTTCTCGTCGATTCTCGGCGGCTTTCCAGCCTCGCGAGATGCCTTCCGGCAGCTTGCCCTCGTCGAGAGCGCCCGGGCCGTCCCGGAGGGCCGCCGGAGACCTTGTGTTCGGACGTTCTCGTCGATTCTCGGCGGCTTTCCAGCCTCGCGAGATGCCTTCCGGCAGCTTGCGCCCTCGGCGAGAGCGCTCCGCGGGTGCCCAGGGATCCTCGCGCGGCGGCAGCGCCGCGACCGCGTGGCGCACGGTGCCGGCTGGGAGCTGCTCGATGGCTTGGCTCAGCTCCCGCGCGGCCGCGCCCGGGGCACAGGCCCCCGAAGTCATGGTTTTGTTTCGGGGGTGGACAGAACCTCCAACAGTGACACGTCGATTAGTGAATTGTCCGTTTTCGGTTTTCGAGAGGGCGCCGTGGCCGTTATTTTCCAGGCTTGCGCCCGCCAGGTTTGGGCCTCAGGTCGTTTTCACCAAACCACGTTTTACTAAAGGGGGGTCTGTCCATCCCCGATTGTTAATCGCGTCGACCCCCATGTCAAGCAGTGGCGAAGCGTCCTGGCTTGCCTGTAGCCCTACCCAACAACGTCCTAAGAACCTCTTGTGGCTTCCACGAAATTTTCTTCTGTGCTAGGAGCATTTTTTGTTATTAGAACAGTTTTGTGTTCTGAGAATATTTCGTGGTAGGACTATAGGAGTGCCAGGACGGTCGGTCCCTGCTGAACCATGGTCCAGAGATCCAGCGCATTGGAAAAATCAAGACGGAGGTGTTTCGCAAGTTTCGGCCTCGAGGGGCCCTCGCCGTGTCCCGAGACCGTCAAAGAACGACTCGGGATGAAAAACCGGTCCTGCAGGACCGGGTTTCTAATGCCATGGGGAATGGGTCGAGACTTCGGGGACCCCGTGTTGAGAAAATCACGACGTCGGATCTATGGGGGTCTCGACCCGTTCCCTGGGACCAGTTTTTCATGCCGAGTTGTTTTTGTTGACGGCCCCGCGGCCCGGCGAGGACCCCCAGAGGCCAGAAAAATTGCGGAAGAACTCCCGTCGCGAAATAATGATGTTCATGCCTCGATGGGGGTCTGGGTGTAGGGACGTGACGATAGGCGTGAAGAGAGGCCGAATATGGCGAACAACTTCCCGTGGTGATTTTATCATGGCTCGAGGGGGTCTGGGGAGGTCACCTCGGCGAGGGCCTGCTCGTGCTCGGACCTCCGAACGTAGATGTTTTTAAGCCGCTTTTTGTCGCACCATGTGACTGCGCCTTGCCTTGCCTTGTTGTTGTTGTTGTTGTTGCTGTTGCTGTTGTTGTTGTTGTTGTTGAACATTATTTATTCTTAAGAATAATTATTGTTGGGACCCCTGGTGCACGACCCCCCCGCCGCGCCTAGGCCGCAGCCACATTTTCATCATTTTCGTGAGGAAGTCTCAGGCAAAACGATTGGTACCGGATCCGGTTGTTTTGTTGTAATCCGTTTTCCCTTGCAAAAAACACTAT